CTTGCAAGCAAGAGATCAGCGGTTCGATTCCGCTCGGGTCCATTTTTGAACTTTTTCTCTCTCCAAAATTCAGCCACTTTTGTAAGAGGAAACACCAGTCCATGTATAGCTTCGTTTACAGCATTACTATTTTATTGGTCTCTTTCACTCTTCGGCGCTGTCATTCTAAAAGAAACTTTAGCTTGAGGGTGTGGCTGTGGCGTGTGGGGTGTGGGTCTAGATGTAATTCTTCTTGTGGTTCGTTCTCGCACCCACACCCTTCTCGTACTATCTATATCACCAATTAATGCTGATCGGCACCTCTTAATACAAAAAAACATATTAAAAAACTAATCTGGCTTAAATTTTTGTCGTAAACTATAACTAGGCAGCATGTCTTATGTATTTGAAATATTGTTATGTGTGCATTATTAGCTGAATATATCTTAATTTTTAAATAGAATAAATTTACACATTGTGAGCATCAGTGATTATTATTCATGTACCGTAAAAGAGCGCGCCTAGGTGTGCTGTTCTCAAATATTATGCATGCGGAAATCGAATATGTATTAAAAAGACCGAATGAATGGATATTAACAGATTTCATCAAAAACATAAAACTTTTATTTTATTGCGATAAATTTCGGCTTTTTTCGATATCTAAAATCAAGAGAAATATATAAAAGAGTATTAAATGATTAAGAATAAAAGTTAATACATCGTGGCTTCTTTTATACTTGAGAAAAAGACAAATAACAGTATATGTATAAGCGTAGGCAGAGAATAATGACGTGAAAAAGTCATGAAAAGATATTTTATTTGTTATGAAGGGTGGGTGTGGGGTGTGGGATGGGTGTGGGATGGGTGTGGGTGGGTAGGGTGTGGGTGGGTGTGGATGTGGGTGTGGGTATTGTTCCTTCAAACACCCACATCCGTAATATTTGGGTGTGCGCTTTATTCAACGGAGGAATGAAACAATGATGTTGTATTGTCGTCTGAGCATCTATTGGACAGCTAATAACATCATTGAGCTTTTTTTTCTTTCTGTCGCTGAGATTGACTGGCATAAATAATAGAATATGAAAAATAAAACAATGTTCGGCAAAGAAAACAGGCGAATATATATATATATAACTGAATATCAATAAATAAGACAGATGAAAAGAATGATGGTAACCAATTTTGAGTGTTTACCTGATGATGTTCTTTTTGAAATTTTTGGTTATTTATCTCCTGTTAATATTCTTCAGTCATTTTTTTCATTGAATAAACGTTTTTCAACAATCCTTATATATCAATATTTGTGGCACATTCATATTGATGATAGTACGATGTCATTAACGATGTTCAAGGATTTTTGTCAAAATGTCTTAAAATTAGTAGGACGTCGTGTTCTCTCATTACGTATTAGATTAAATAATTTTATTGGTGGATGGTCACTTGTTTCATCATCTCTAAAAAATCAACAAATAACATTGCTCCGACATCTTCATCTGATCGACATTAAACCACACGAATTTGATAAATTATTGTATGATCGTTTAGTAAGACAATTACACACATTATTGGTCGATCTGATAGATTCTAGTTCATTCAGCGGGCAGGTAGTGGAAGGAGCATATTTGGCTAAGGTAAAAAAGCAAACTTTGCGCAAGTCTATTATGAAACTGGTAGTTTTTGTTTGAGAGAAAAAACTTCTAATAATATTATCTAGAGAATGCATAAAAACGTTTCTCCTGGTAGTAACGCTGTGATTTCGAATACCCTCATCAACAAAATTTATATCAAATTAGAGCGCATCGAAAATGAAATTTGTTACTACTAAATACTAAGGATAATGGCAAATGATCAGTGTTCAATTCAGTAACTTTCCAGAAGTGTATGATATATAGGCATAGAAAAATTCTTTTGGTGAAGCATTTCAAGGTGGATCTGATGTAAAATAATGAATATCACAAAGCAATATTTATTTTTTAAGATTTGATAAATATAATCAATAATGAATATGCTGACTATTAGAATTCTTTACAGCACGAACACGAGGCCGGTATCAATATAAAAGAGTTTAACATTATTAAATGTTTGCTTCCATGTTTGTCAAAACGACTCAAATATATTTATTTAGTGTTTCTTCATGATAATGATTGTATTTCATGTCTGATAGATTTTTTTCTCTACTTCGTTTTTGATTATTGTTCCAATATTTCTAAGATATGTGTCGATCATTTTATGATATTCATCTTTTTACAGCAGATCTAGTTTGAAATACGTCATCAAAGGAATTTTTCTATGCCTATATGTCATAAAATTCTGGCAATTTCTTGAATTGAATACTGATAATGCACAACCATTACTATGTCGTAATGATAAATTCCATTTTCGATGCGTTCTAATATGGTAAAAAGTTTGTTGTTGATCAGATCTGAAACCACAATTTTATGTACCCTATGTAAGACTTGATTTTTTTATGATTATAGGTATGTTCACAACTACCTAATCTACGAACTTGTCGACTACCGTTTGATTTTTGTCCTACACAACGTTATCATTTACCAGAGTTCTCAGCACCACCACTAATGACTTTACCTAATCTTTCTAATACAGTTCATCTTCATACATTAACCACTGGTGTAAACACAATACGCTTTTTAGAGCGTTTAGTAACGTGCATACCTTCGATTCAAAATCTTTCTGTTGGTGTACAAGATTCAATAGTTTTTGACAACGATGAATTTGATTTAATTCCGTAAGTAACATACGATGATTTATAAAAGTATCAGTAAAATGAAATTTTAGATTACCTGTTGCTGTTGATGGTTTCCTTCTTCCTCGTCTATCTCGTCTGAGCATGAGTTGTATGGATAAAAGAAGTTTTCATAGAGCAGTTGCTCTTTTATCATCTATGTTTATTCAACTTACTCATCTATCACTAAAATTATTTGCATGTACATCAATCTCTGGTCCTTTGTTCATATCAGGTGACACTATTCAAAAATTATGTATCGATCGTCTCAAAACATCGGCCACCTATACTCTTAATCTATCAATCTACGTGAAGAATGACTTGGAAAAAATAATTTTCAATTCATTTTTGAAAGCTCCATTTACTCGTCGAGAACGACTAAAGGTGTTGATCCAAAAAGGTGATAGTTGGATGACTGGTGATGATTGTTATGATCTTGTAGTATATAGCTTGCCTTATAATGACACAAGGCTTCCAACGTGTCTATTTTCTAGAGATCTGGAAAAGTATGTAGAAAATATATTGTTTGTATGAAAACTAGAAATCTTATCTTTTTATTTAGATCTTGTGAAATACCGATTAATGCAGTAGATTTGTTTCCACACGCCAATCAGTTAGTCATAACCGATTTTAGGAATAAGTATTGTCTTTCAGACCTTGGTAATTGTAAAAGTTCTATATCATCATTGGTTCCGTGGTCATTGTTAACAAAAATTTCAATCACTGACTGTAATGTTATTACTGCAGCTAAACTCGAACCAATATTACGAATGGCATATAATGTACATGCACTACGTATATATGAGAACAGGCGTATTTCACCCTCTGCAGTATTGCGTATTTATGACAATCTTGGAACTCGTGCCTGTGAACAAGTAAGAATTATCTATTTTAAAAGATAAATCTCATTGAAATTGATTTATCTGAAAGTCCTGCTTTGATCAATATTTATCTTACCTTCTATGTATATCTTTTTATTAAAGTTATTCAAATTTAATGTTGGAACAGAAAGATTATTAGAACATTTTCAGTTATTATATAACTAAGATACTTTTATTTTTGTTTAAATGAAGATATTTTATTTCTATTTATTAGATACAATCATTTGGTATACACGATGGTATGTTAACATCGCGTAAAGCTAAAGATGTTTGCATGTTACTCTGCAATCGATTTCCTAATTTAAAAGAACTTTCGTTAACTATCTATGAATCATGGGATTTTAGTACTGCGAGTCCATCGTATCTTGCTAATTATAATAATGAATCTACAAAACGTATTGTTAATCTTATTCATTTCCTTGTTGATCATTTACAACAACTTGTTTCGTTTCATATGAATTTTATCCGTTCGAGATCATGTGAAACACCTTGTTTTCCACATTTAATTCGACGACAACTACATGAATGGCTACTTAACCGACCTTATCGATTACGATGTTCTACGGAAGAAATTCAATTATGGCTTTAATACTACATCAATTGTGCTAAGACATTTTGTTGTTGTAGATTTTTTTTGTATATAGAGAAATTGTAACATATTCAATTTGGTCAATTCTATAACAAAAAAAAATTGAAAATTGAACAAAATGTCCTTTTTTCTAGGCGATATGTGAAACTAATATTTTAGAACAGATCGATGTTATTCATTCATTTAAGATAATCGACATTTCAATCAATTAAGAATTTCTACGAGAAAAATAAACTTTTTATCGAAGCTATTGTTTCATTATCATTCTTTTCATTTAGTTTAAATTCATTTTTTTTTTAATATGAATCCAAGAGAAAGAGTATATTTCGTTATTTGATTTAATACAATACTTATTTTATTAAGAAACATATTGTTATGATTGCCAATAGGATCGATGCATGATTAAATTGCATTATAGTTCATTTTATCATATTTTTTTGCTTCTCAAATATTCATTAAACATTAAAAAATAAGCCTGTCGGATTTTATCGACATGTCCATTTAAAAAAAACTAAATAAAAGATATGTTAATTTTTTCGGAAAAAGAACACTATAGCTTTGTTCAAAATTTTAATGCTGTTTCTAACCAGATAAGTTTTTTCAAAAATATACGCAACGAAAAAATGGCATTACTGACACTTGTCCTTCCTACTTTGGTTAACTGAAGATAAAAAGAGAATTTTGAAATAATATTTTATTTAAAATATGTGATCAAATCCCGCTCTAATTTACTTTTATCTTTCAATATTAATCTAACAATTTTTTTTCTTACTTTAAAGGTGACGGCAAGTTTCACAGTATTTTTTGACCCAAGAACGAGACATATGTAGGCTAGTAGAGGGAGGGCATAATAAACTCCAATTTCTAGGAAATTCAATATTTTTCATCTAATTATATAATGAACAATACAATCTAAACAATACAACTTAAAGAGTCTTCACTCAATCTTCATCATGCCAGGTAATTCACTTTCAAATAAAACATATGCACAATCGATATTTATTTCTTTTGGGACTGGATGTGGTTGGATCAAGAAAATCCATTTTAAAATGGAAAATAATATGTATATATGTTATGTTGGGTTGGATTGGATTGGGTAGGGTTAGGAAATTTATTTTCAAAAAAAATGAATTTCCTGGCCCGACCCAACCCAACCCAAGCCCAAATATATAGAGATGATTTCTTTACGGTTTCATACTAAAATGAATTTCCTATGGTTATGTGTTAGAGTATTGAGTTAAATTTCAATGAAAATTTTCTCGTAATCATTTTATTTGAATTTTGGTGTAAGGAATACTGAAATATTTCTGATAGATTCATTTTTTCGATCAGAGAAGAAAAGCAAGCTTCAATGTTGAAAGTGCTGTCAGTGTAACACATCGATTTCAAATCACAAGGAATGTGTATGCAATGCATCGAATAAAACAAAGACATACAATCATCAGTAGAATCATGAATCAACTATTGATACCTTGCAAGGAAACATTTATGTTTTAACAATGAATCTCTAGAGTCCTATGTAAAAAAAAAAGTTAGTGGATCCATGCCGCATATAATAGTTTATTTTGATACAAAGTTTTGAAAAAGTTGATTCTATCACTTATTCTGGTGTTTCAAAGTACTCTTGCAAACTATTCTAAATTACTCAAGTAGTTGCATATGATACTTATTAGTATTTTATTTGAATATTATACTATAGAGGCCAATATATTGATCAACAAAAATTGTGTAACAAGTTTGTTTTTAATAAAAAAGACGCGGTTACGTGAAAAAAACTTATTTTCGCTCGGCAATAAGTTAATTATATCAAAATGACAAGTGCAAACTTCATGCATTAATAATGACTACATTCCTATCAGTTATGGGATCGGTTCGGTTCAGCTTGAAACTTTTCGGGTTCGGTTTGAGGGAAATGAGAAGCGATTCTATACATGCTATTAATGTTATATCACAAGAATGGACAAAATTAGTATTCAATAAGTTTAGTGATATCCTCCGTGCACATTTCTTCTAGTGTTTGAGTTTTTGTTTTAATATAAATTTTTTGAAAGATGTTCTCAGTTCATATTTCAAATTATTACATTAAATGTAACGTGATTAACAACATTATAATAACTTATCAACTAGAAATATCTCTAAAAACAGTTTTGAAAACTAACTTTGTATTGACTTGGTACAGAATGTATTGCTGTATAAAAATGTTCACTGTGCTCTTTAAAGAAAACCTTCTGGTTTGCATAAAACTTGGGCAGTTGACATTGTCTCAACTGTGGTGAGGTAAAATGACGAAGTGGATTATAATTTCTTATATGAATGTTAGTGAAATATGAGTTATGTAACAATGTATTCTCATATTTTTTTGTTTTGTTCTTTGATCGGTATTTCAGAATCGGAGAAGATATATGATGAAAATAAATATATCTAGGAACTGTGAAAACAGGGAAAATTGTATTTCTCTCAGATTTGTTTGTCAACTGTCTCTTACTACGGATAATCGAGCAATTTGCATTTTTGAAAATACATGTGAGGCTAGTTCGTTTAGAAGCAGTTTTCATTTTCGATACTGTGACAATAAATCATTCATAGATAATATGTGACTGGAAAGAATAATCTTTCATACTGTATTCAAAGAGATCCAGAGATTTTAACATATTATACCTATTTCTATGAAATCGTAGGAGGAAAAGCATTGGAATTTCAAAGAAAACAGGATAAAGAATTCTTTCTATTGCTATAAAATACTCCATGTATAGCGTCTAACTTGATGACCGTTAACTTACATAAATCAATAAAAATCTGCAAAAAAATACAAAATCTTAGTTAAGCGACTAAGGATCTATTAAGGCCCCCCCCCCCCCCTCAAAAATCGATCTCAGCCCAGGTACGTTCAAATGGGCTGAAATTTGAAGCATATGTTGGGGCTGAAGTGTGGAGGCTGTGATAAAATTTTCAGCTCGATACCCTGATGTTTGCCTGAGATATTCACCAAACAAGGGTCAAAAATAGGTCATTTTGGTACAAGGATTTCTCAGTCCGGACCCGTCTAACATATTTAAATTTTTTTTTTGCTAGAAAGAGCATGTCAGGATGCAGAGCACTACAGAGTCCTTTTTTTAAGATTCTTACTTTTTTAGCGGAGAAAGAAGATCACAAGTCCAATGACTCAAAAAACGCCCCAAAAATGGGTGTCCAGTCACATAAGTGTCTTTATATATAATAAAAAACAAAGCTTAATTAAAAAAAGGACTCTGTAGTGACCTGCATCTCGACGCGCTCTTTCAAACAAAAAAAAAATTTAAATATGTTGGACGGACCCGGACTGAGAAATCCTTGTACCAAAATCAAAAAATCATAAATCGAGAAAAAACGAAAAACATTTCTGGATATTTCAAAAAACCGCTGGTTTTTCAAAAACTGGTTCTCTGAAATTCTGGAATATTTCGGGAAAAAATGGAGGTTTTAGGAAAAATTTTTATTGATTTTGAAAGAGCAGACGACGGGCTATTTTCCTATGTATTTATCTCAATTTTGACAGTTCTCACGAAAATTGACTTTTTGAGGGGGGGGGGCTTAATCATTGCATATTGTGCAAAGAGGAAAATTTGGTTTGAAAAAGTACTCATTTTCAAAGCGAAAAGTTCTGTATAGAGTCAACTCGGTTATGCCCTGCATCTATTTGGATACAGTCATAGGCTTTTTTCCTGCCATGGTTCGCTTCTCTTGTTCTCGTTCTCTCTATGACTAGATCTATGTGTTGGAGTTTTCTTTATTATCATATATAAGATGAGTTTTTCCTTTCCTTCTGTTCTTCTTTGCCCTCAAGATGCTCTATATATTTTCCACTTTTTTCCATACTATATATAGTTTGTTTTAGTCGTTGCAAAGATTGATATATAGAGATACATACAAAAATAAATTGCAAGTATGACAAAGATCTCACGCACTCGACTCAAATTTTTGAAATTGTTTTTAACTATCTCAAAAGTAGAGTACATATAGCTACTGCGATCTGATTCCTTCGTAATGCCAGTATGTATGGAAAAATTTCTCTCAATAAGACAGTTTACGGATAATATCTTTACGAAGTGATAGTAAATTTTGAGAGCTATCAACTAAGTTCGGTTCTGTTTAAAAAAAAACACGAACTGATCCTATCTCTGAACTCTATATCGACTGACGGCTGACACCAACTTGAGTGAGCAAACATTCGTAATCTCTGGCAATCAGAATTGAATTATTGATCATTCCATATAAGAGAAATAGGTCAAGTTGTGTGAATATCCGTTTTCGTATCCGATCAAATTGTAAAAAACAAGAAATGTAACTATAAAGTTTGTGCTCTGTCTACAACTAAGAGAAAGTATCAATTCAATTCTTAAGTAGTACTCTAATTAAAGTACCGAGAAGAAGTCAATACTGAAACGTAATGATAGAAATAGAGAACATAAGTAAGTAGTCCGTACTCTGAAATGCTTGTGTCGTGAATGTACTAGAGAGTATTACAGAGAGAGTAAGCATTGTACATAAATTACCGTATTGACTTACTTATTTATAAGTTAGTAGTCAGTTATGAAGGCTCACTTATTCATACTTGCGTAACTGAATACAATAATTTCAAAAATAGTTCACAGTGGCTATTTTTTCCAAAAATTTTGACACAAGTTACTATAAGTCGGATTCAGGTCTCTTGAACTCTCTGTTACATTTCCAAACGTCTTTTATGAATGGTGTCTTGAGGTGAAGACACCTTGAATCTTTGCCCATTTTTTTGTCCATTGTTTATGTCGCGCTTTGTAGTCACAAAAGATGTAAATAGCATCTAATTGTGGCATCCCATGGATCTACGCTACGAGATGCTGACCTAAAGCATCGGAAGAGATGACAAAAGCTTTCTCGTCATTTATATCGTTGAGGCACTTGATACATGCTCCAGTTCGGTACAGAGTGTCACTTCGTTGACGACACTGCGCTATTGCGCCAGTGTATTTTGACAATTGTTATTTGCTTCATCAATATTACCATCGATTCAGATGATCAAATAATTCTGAATCACATGTCGTCTTGGTTGGATAGTATTTGACAAGGCCGTTGTACATGTGGCAACATCCATTGTTGATTTAGAATCTTTTTATTTCAACTTTTCTCCATCCGTATTGAGTACCAATTGTAGCTTGATCGGTAGTTCAGAATGTTTTTTAGTTGTTTGTTGTTTAGGCAGACATTACCTTTTCTATTAATACTGTCGATGCCTTCTTTTTTTTTCTATATTTTTCTACAACGTCAAAGGTAGTTGTTGTTTTTTTTTTCGTTGACACTCAACGATAAACTTCATCTAGTTTCAACTGAAAATAGGATTCTAAACAACAAACGAAAGAGAAAAAAAATCCGACAAAGTCATTTATTTTATGGTTATTCTTTCCAATATTCATTTGTTTTTCAAATATACAATCACTCAAGTGCCATTGCGTTGGATACTTTGTCTCACTCATTGTTTACTTTTTCTTTAATTATTTCAGAACGTCTTTTTTCCACTATATTTGTAGTGAACATCCTGATGATGCGAACGAAACAAGAAGAAAAAAAAATACTAAACAGTTGTAATTCGAATTCGAATCAGTATTCAGGACAAGATTAGCCGTTGCCATCTTTGCTATTTCGATAGAATAATGCTTACTTGAGTAAAAATTACGAATGAGAAAGAATTTATTTTTTACTTTTGAATGTTGGAGTCATATGTGAATAGGGAAGTTTCATTTACATTCGAACTCGATTGAGACAGGGACTCTAAATCCATGTTGTTGTTTTTTCAATGAGACCAATTTCATCGTGGGGATGTGTGAGTGAGATTAACAGAATGAATATATTATCATTGACAATCTTGCTAGAGTGAACTTTAATTTATATTATATCCATTAGAAAGTTTTTTCTTTTCATATGCTAATTCTCGCTCTTCCTTTGAGAGTGGTCCGATTCATGAACAAGTAATATTCAATTTTGTTTGTTCATACTCGAGATTTGCACAATTTTCACGTGCATCACAATATATTAAGAGATATGTTTTAATTGAAAACGATGAATATTACCAGAGCAAACTTTGACTATAAATCTCATCTATCAATGATTTCTGTTTCGTATGCATGCGAAAGAAAGCCATATATTTTTGCCTACACTTCAAAAATAATAAAAAGTATCGTTTGTATTTCTTTTAACAAAAATCGACCGTGATATTGAGGCACAAATTCTTGTTTATTCAATGAAAAGTAATAAGAACAAAACACCATCATTGTAGTGTGCATACCTAATGTCTTTATGCAAATACAGAATTTTGTTCTGCGAAAAAAAAACACCATTGGCCATAAATGTTGATTGAATGATTCTTTTGGTTTTCTTGTGATAATACAACTATGACAAACAAGAAAGATCAACAAAAAAGTACATTAACAACAAACGAGTCAGCAAAACAAAAACACGCACAAATGAATTTTTATTATTGTTATCATAAGTTTTTTCTTCCATTCATGTCTCTTTTCTTCCTTTCTTTGGATATGATTGCATCCCATCAAGAGCTTTTTGCTACTATCTGTGTCTGTACGTTTATCGAGTTGACATGTTTTTGAATCAATAAAAATGCATTAAAATCAATTCAATATTGTTCATTATGTAGCATTCATTTCGTCTCTTGAAGGTCATTGATATAAAACCATCTATTTTATTGAAATATATATATTAACTATGATCAAGATCATGTTCAAAAGATCGTTAAAATCAAACGAGTGTTCAAGAATCTGTCCTTTAGAGCTTGATATAAATTTACTTTTTTGAAGCCTGTTTTGGCATAAATGGCGATTCAATGTCATTCACATTTTTCTATTCCAATTTTTATTCAATACATTCTTTAGACTGAATCACCACCTACACATCGAATGCAATATAGTTAGTTTCTAATTCGAAATTGGCTGTACTAATCTTTCAATTCACCATAGATATAGGCGGATCTTAGATCGTGTATTGTAACTGATCAATTTAAGAATGACCTGAATCAATGTCCATCTAAAATGAGATCCTAGATTGGTCTAGGCCGATCTAAGATTGGACGCTAACATATATGTCAATCCAACGTCGAAAATAGTTCATATTCAACATATGTTATAGCAAATATAAATCCATTTACCAATAAACTTTTACAAGAACTATAAGCATTCCTATAAATATTTATCGTTTGTTTTCTTTATTATACAGTTCATTTATCTCACATCAGAGAAACGAATATGAATATGGTTAAGATTTTTAAAAAAAATGTCGATATTTCTCTTTCTTACAGACTTTGCTTCTTTTTTAATAATATTCAAAAAAAACAGATTGTCATATACAAAACACTGCCGAAGAACAAGAAACAAGCAAACAAAAACAAAAAAAGATTGGAGAAAAAAAAAGCACCAAATAATTTTATCTAACTTGTGACTTTTGCCGATGTAATAATCATTGATGAAACATTACCTCTCATTTTAACATTTCTTAATGAAAATGGCTGTTGTTGTTGATTATTCTCATTTTTATTACCTGTTGTTGTTGATCTACGTTTCGAATTATTATGATGATGGTTTGATGAAGCTAAAACTGATTTTTGATAATTTAATAATGGAAACATTTGTGCATGTTGTTCTAATGCATTTTTTGCAGCAGCCATTTCAGCATCATGAATTGATCGTCCAACACCAACAGATAAACGTTGTTTACGAAAAAAAAACACCAACTTTATATTGAACATTATTTGATGATCCAATAGATTTTAAAACTCGATATTCAGGTAATGGTGAATTACGATCATTTGGATCACGTAATGCTAAACAACAACGTTGTAAATTTGATTTCGGATCATTTCAATGTTGTGTTGATATAAAATCTTGTAAATGTGGAAATATAGTTGCACGACAAAGTGCATAAATTGATTCTAAACTTGGATCAATAAATAAAGCAGCTATAAATGCTTCAAATACATCTGCTTTAGCTTTTAAAGATTTTTCAATTAATTTTGGTGTTGTCATACGAAGTTGTTCACGAACATAATCTACATATACTTGCATACCTAATTCATCATAGATCACAGCTTGTGTTGGATTAGAAACAGTACATGAACGAAGTAATGATAAATGACCTTCATGATGTTCGAGAAAATGACGATATAAATAATCACTCACAACAAAATTCAGTACATTATCATCTAAATTAGATACAATGTTAGATTTATTATAGATTTAAAGCAATCATATGTACATCAAATTGAAAATTTCGATTTGCTTCATATTGTAATTAGTAAGATGTGTACAAATATATAGATTGAAAGTTCAAATACTGAGAGCATATCAAAGTGCTCTATATATTTCTCCGATATTTCATCATTCTTCAACTCATATTATGTACTATGATCACATATAGAGAGAAAGTTTCTACGATCTCTATACACAGTATTGAAGTGCCTTCATCACTATCTTTGATATATTCTAAATAGAATTTCAATAAATGATCAAAGTTACGTCTTATCAGGAAGATATTGAGATCAACACCGTATATATTGAATAATAGCTGTACATTCTATGGATTAAAAAAGTCAATATAGTTTAGTTATAGGTTTTCACTTGTATAGGTATAATGATGACGGATATGTATCAAAACATAGAATAAAAATATCTCGAAAAAAGCCCGGTCTATATAAAATAGTAGTCCAAGACAGATTCGTCTGAACACGCTTCTTATTTATTACTTTACAATATCATTTCTTATGTATTTATCTATAATAGTTCATAACATTTTCTATTAATATTAAGATAGAGAGAAACAGATGGTAACACTAGGGATGTGCAGTTTCAGTATACTGGCCACCAAATGTCGCCAAAGTAGTGTAGTTAGTGTGTATTGACATCAGTGTCCTAGTGGACCTTATGTTGATGACTCAATGTTTAGTTTTTACACTGATACTACACATCTCTAGGTAACATGATTATTAAATTTTAAAATTATAAATAAATATTTTTCCAATATTGAAAATTTCATATAAAATTTGTTTTATCCTACCAAGAAATTCTAATCTTTCATTATCTTCAATAGTTAAATCATTTTGTGGTATTGGTCATGTTCAAAAAGCTTGCGCTAACATTCGAATATGTCGAAATTCTACTTCAAGATCTTGTTCAAATTTAGTTAATTGTTTTAATAAAGGTACTTGTTCAATTAAATGAGGATCGCTATTTAGATATTGAACTTTTAATGGATATTCTTGTAAATTATTCCATATATTCGTTAACTGTTTATCTTGATAACAAAAGAATTTTCGATACAATTTTATCAACAATAGCCTAAAAGACAAAGCAAAAATTATTTGTTTTTTTTTCGTAAATAAACTTTTTTTTACTAATCCACCATCGAGATAAATTGCATCCATTAATGCTTCAAATGAATTTGCTTGTCCATGATTATAAATAATAAAATGTTGTAAGCAAAGATTTCGTGCTAATGATGTAAAAAAATGATTTTGAATTAATCCAACACTAAATGTTGATAAACGACCTTCATCAAATTGTGGAAATAAAAAAAATAAATGTATTGATACAAGAAATTCTAATAAAGCATCACCTAAATATATTTTAAGAAAATTTATAAACAAAAAAAAAATAAATCTTTTTCTTTTTTTTCTCACCAAGAAATTCTAATCGTTCATAATTTGTTATTTCTAATATATATTCACATGTTTTAGCTTTTTTAGCCATTATTTTAAATAATGTTGATACACCTCGTTTAGTTATTGGTCGAAATAATTGTTTTCGATCACCATAAACTGTATTTCGTATTCGACAATTTGCCTTTAGAAAAACAAAAAATTAATAGTGACAAAAAAAAACAAACAGAAATCCTAAGACAATCATACTAAAGTATCTTTAACATGATCTGGATTTGGACCAAGATTATTATGTAAAACATAATTTCTACTTGGATGTGTTAAGGCTAATTGTATTAATCAACGATTATGAAATTGATATCCAACTAATTGATTTTCTAATTCAGTTAATGATTGATGAAAATGTAAATGATCATGTAATGATAATAATAATAATGAATGTTGAATTATATCTGATTTAAAACCAGTACGATATGCATATTCAGATGATATTTCTACAACAATTTCACGTTTTAATTGTTCAGCATGTTTAGGAACAATTTGTTTTAGACGTTATTCTTTATCACGTAAATTTTCTTTATCTTCTTCAGTTGGTGTACGATTTTTTAAAAGAAAAAATACTTTTTAATAAGATTTATATGCTCGACGATATTCTTGATTATATTGAATGGAGAAAACAGCAGGACGAATACCTAAAAAAAACAAAAAATAAAAATTCTCTTCTTCAAATTTAGTTCTCAATGCTATACATTCTTTATTGATATTAAATCATAGAGAATTTATACTTTTAGCTTTACATATGAATTTATTATCTCATGAATGAAGCACTCAAATTGATAACTCTTAGTACTGCTAAGATACTGTAGTTTTACGGAATTTTTTTTTATACGAATGCCATGATCCCAAAAAACTGATTTCTGAATTTTGACTGGAAATTCTGCATAGATACAGGTCTTAACGAGAATAGGTTTTTTTTTCGAATGCTACTGTTCTTATCCTAAGATACAACTGTGGGACTAGCATGTCTTTTACATCGCTCACACATAACGGTAAATTCTATGTTCTTGTTTAAGGATTGAAGAAAATCAAAAGATCAGGAACTTTTACAATAAACTATTATCATTAAGAGCAATATCTCAGTAGCAATAAACTAAGGACCTGAACTATTTTCAGAATATTCATTGCTTATTTGGTTCTACAAAATACACGTAGTATTGACACAAAAGCAATTTATCAGTTGGTAGAGTTTTCTCGTCAGTACTGCCATTTCATCCTTACAAATCATGACAGACATACTCGCGACACCAATGGCTGAATTTCAGGTTGCTTTTTTTTCGTATTCCTTCACATTCATAATAATATATTAGGATTAACAATAGGCAATATTTCGTTAATCAAAATATTTGTTAATGCATTCTCTCTTTAATAATGTCAGCAGCTCCATTGTGTTTCACATGTCAATCCTACGTGAATTGTGCTAACAGTTTTTTAATCAGATGCAGTAATAAAATGTCTCTGACAAAAAAAAGAATTTACTGTACATCATTTTTGGCTGAATTTTAATGCAATTAATGGAAATACTAACTATTATAAAAAAAAACCGGATCGTCTTCGATATGTTCTTAATATCTGAAATGCTTCTACTTACACAAAAAAGTCAATTGTGTCTTAGTAAAAATAGTAGAATCAAAAATTTTGAAGTCCATTGATATAAATCATCATAAAAAATTTACATCAGAAATATTTATATTATTCACTACATTTCTCCTCCAAGGTAACTTCAAGGAAACAGTGATGGTCAGTCACCAATTCACTGTCATAGTTGTATCCGTCACCGGTATTCACCAATATTAGGAAACGTCGTTTATCAGTAATTAATAAGTTTAATTAAGAGCCATTTGAATCAATAAATCCGACTCTATAGTCGGTTTCGCGATATTTCCATTACAATTACCTATAGATCTTGAATCTGCAAATCTTTGATCAAACTTTATAAAATATCGTTATTGTTTCTGATAACAAAAGAATCCAACAGACAAATTTGTCTTTATCGGGTATCGGTAACTTTTCTCTTTCTTAGTTTATATTCAACTGAATAGCGATTATTGACACTGTTGTATCTCTGTGGGAACTATGTCTGATGATTGTAAAACAATTTTATGTAATTTTTAATCTTACCAAAATGAACAATAACTGGATAAGAACTATTTTCTCGATCAAGTTGATCAAGTCTAATAGCAGCTGGACGATGTTTTGGAAACCAAACAATTGAACCCTGTACTTTTGATACATATTTATCCCATGCATCAACAGACATTGATTTACAACGTGAATATAAATCATTAGGCATTAAAGGTTTAATATGTTTAAGAAAATATTGTATTTGTTCAGCTGGATGCAGTAATTCTTTTCCATTATCAGGTAAAATACGTGCAAAACGAGGAAAAAAATGATAACATGTACAAGTTGATATATCATTATTATTATTTAATGGTCCCCATTGTATATTATATAATTCACAAACATCAATAAGAAGATATTGTTGAAGAAGATCAAGTTCTTCGATTGTATAATGTTCTAATGGAGATTCTTCTTCTAAACCAATTGCATAATCAATATTATGATAAACAACAATACAATCATTCACCTAGATATATTATATAAATAAATGTTTTGCTTTTATTTAACAAAAAAAAATCTTTATTTACATTAGCTAATGATACACGATAAAGAACAGAAAAACCTTCGAATACATAATCATGATCATCATAAGTTATCACTGTTGGTTCTTTTAACTAAATGAATAAAATATGCATTTCGTTTTTTGACTGGGGTGTGGGTGTGGGTGTGGGTGGGTGTGGGGTGTGGGTGGGTGTGGGTGTGGGCGTGGGTGTGGATGGGTGTGGGTGTGGGTCAAAAGTAAAATAACAATAACACCCATACCC